GTATCTAAAGATATGCATAGAATTTTTGACCAGTGTTATTTTAGTATCAGTGCGGGTTTTTATTAATAGTTTGAATTAGTTTAAATTTTTATGGTTTCTGTTTTATTTCAGTTTTAGTTCAAATGTTGGTTTTGTGTTTTTGTCATTTTTATTAGTGGGGGTTTTTTTGTTTTAGTTTTTTTGTATATCAAGTAAATAATGAAAATGAGCAACGATTCCTTAGGAAATAGTTGAATTAAAATTAAAACTTAATTTAAAAAAATGTCTTTATATTTTATTTCAGTAAGTATTTTATTTCAATATTGAAGTGAATATTGCATTTTATTTAATAAAAAAAAGCCATAATCTTTATTAAAAGCCCAAATTGTATGCATTGCAGGGTTCACTAACAGATTACCTGAAGGGAAACCCGGTGAGCTGGCCTCAGTTGTGCCATATTTCTGCAAGTATGTCCCGTGGCCTGGCGTACCTTCATGAAGACCTTCCTTACCGAGCAGAGGGACCCAAACCCGCCATCGCACACAGGTACATGCGCTGAAGCGAATCTCAAGCTTTTACAACATCAATACAGATCTGAAAGGAAAGTGATGTTTGAGCATTTGATATGTCATTTTAAAAGAGATTTGTAAATATTGTGCTCTTGCTGTATAGTGATAAGCAAGAGGAAGTCTGTAGATACTGGGTGATTTGAACTTTGTGATTTGCAGAGACTTCAAGAGTAAGAATGTCCTGCTCAAGACTGATTTGACCGCAGTGATTGCAGACTTTGGGTTGGCTGTCTGCTTCGAGCCTGGGAAACCGCCTGGAGATACACACGGCCAGGTGAGTGTCTCAAAGATGAAGCCAAGCCTTTGACTACAGTTCAGTCCATCTGCCTCTTCATATCCATGCTAAATATGGGAATTAATGCACTGAAGTTACCTAATAAAAACTCTACTCTTCAGCTCTGGGTTGGTAAAAATAATGTTTTTGAAAGACTGCAGTTATTTGAACAAAATTGAAGTAAAAACGGTAATATTGTGAAATATTATTACAATTTAAAAGAGCTGTTTTATACTTGAATATGTAATTTATTCCTGTGATCAAAGCTGAATTTTCAGCATCATTCAGTGTCACATGATCCTTCAGAAATCATTCTATTATGCTTATTTGCTGCTCAAGAAACATTTCTGATTGTCGATGTTGAAAAAAGTTGTGCTGATTCATATTTGTGGAAACCGTTATACTTTTTTTTTTGTTTGTTTTTTTTTCAAGAAAGAACAGTATTTATTTTGAAACTTTAAAATGTCTTCAACTGTCACTTGTGACAATTTAATTGTGATCAATTTAATGCATCCTTGTTGATTTGCTTAAAAATAGTTGCCGACCCTAAACTTTTTACTGGTAGTGCTTATAAATTTTATTTGTTGGTGTTCTGGTGCATCAATTCAGAATGAATATATGAAGACCAAACAATAATCCGCACACCTAGTCAAAAAATACAATTGCAAGTTTAAAGAACACTAGTCTAGTTTGTCTTATACTTGGCACTGTGTACTGTAAATATTGCTGCTCTTATGATAAAGTGCTTGTGATGTTCCTTATTTGTAAGTGGCTTTGAATAAAAGCATATGCTAAATAAATAAATGTAAGAAATGTGAGGCTTTGAGTCCAAGATCAAATCAATTTCACTGAAGAGTTGTGCAAATACCGTATTGGCCCGAATATAAGACGACCCTGATTATAAGACGACCCCCCTTTTTTCACCACAGAAATGGCAAATGTTTCAGCCTCTTAGTTTTTAGTCTCTTATGATTATTCAGCCATTTTTAAGTGCAAATAAGTGTAAATTTGAAGCACGTCATGATGGTCCCCAGACTCCACTGGGATGGCGGTGTCCAGTGAATCACTGTTTGTGTTTTCTGTCCCGCCGCAGGTGGGAACTCGGCGTTACATGGCTCCAGAGGTGCTGGAGGGAGCCATTAATTTCCAAAGGGATGCCTTCCTAAGGATCGACATGTACGCTCTAGGACTGGTGCTGTGGGAGCTAGTGGCTCGCTGCACTGCCTCCGATGGTGAGTCTGCACAAACATACGGACCTCCGAGCGTGTGTGCGCACCATAGTTTTCATTTTGGAAGTAATGTGTTATATAATCGAATACACACCATAATAATTGAACTTTTAACTACAGAACTGTTAATGTTTTATATCTCTGGCTATAAATTCAGGGAAGTGATTTTTTTTTTTTTGTTTCATACAGATTTTATTAATACAAATTTCCATATATTCTGACCTGAGAAGTATGACCCATGTGAATTATAAAATAGCTAAACAAACTGAAAATGTGTCGTTTTTAGTTGCATTTCAGCCCAAAATGAACAATAACAATCATTTTGATGTTTTACAGTACAATAAGATATAGTTCAGCTTTTCATTTTTTTTGTGTGTGTTTGTCCTTAGCTGATCACGCATGCCTGTGTATTGTGTGTTTTATACAGCTAATGCTGTTGCTGTCTCACTCAGGTCCTGTAGGTGAGTACCAGCTGCCCTTTGAAGAGGAGGTGGGCCAACATCCTTCACTGGAAGACCTTCAAGATGTGGTGGTCCACAAGAAGATGCGGCCCGTCTTTAAAGACTGTTGGATCAAACATCCGGTGAGAATTAATGTACTTTTGAGTAGAAGCTAGAGCCACACAGTTACTTACAGCTCGGCTTGCACCCAAACTAAACTCTGCATCCGCTTTGAGTTTGGGTCACTTTTAAAGTGCATTTGGGAATACAGCATGCACCAACCATCTTCTCAAAATCGTAATAAGTGCATATCAACAAAAGTGAAGCTTTAAAGGCTCCCTGCAGTTTTCTGTCCAAATAAATATTTGATGGTTTGAAGTGAAGACAGAGATAAATATTAGTATTGTAATTTTTTTTATGTTGTCTTAATTTAGTAATTTACTGTAGTAGTAGTAGTAGTAGTAGTAGTAGGGTTGCAAAAATGTGGAACATTTCCAGTAAATTTCGGAAACATTCCAGGATTTTTTTAATTTTTTAATTTTTATTTATTTTTTTTTTTTTGGAATATTCCAGGGATTTTTGTAAAGTTTCCAGAAACTTACCGGAAATTTTCCACCCCTTTGCAAACCTAAGTAGTAGTAGTAATAGCAATATTATTATTCTTACAAAAATTAAATTAAAATTTTGCAACTTATATAATTAAGAAAAATACATTACTGTTGTAAAATGATTCTTAATTGTTCTTTAGTGCTTGATTTTTTTTTTTACAGTGAAATATTGCAATGATTATTTTTTTACTTAGTAATTTATTTTGTAGATTATTTAGATTTTTATTATCACAGTAATATATTGCTGTTATAAATTACATTTGTATTGTAAAATAAAATATAAGGATCTTATTTTAAACTAGTTACATTACTAATATTTATGTCTTGCATTCCTTCCTTTTAAATGTTCAAACCCTCAAGCTTAAAACATTTCAAATTTATGAGCTTTTATTTTAAAGGAATACTACTGAAATATTGTAAACTTCTGCCCACAACAATGTTGAAAATTTCAAGTAAACCTAAGGCACGTTGCGTTCCCAAATGCACATTAAACTCACAGCACATTCAGCGATGGAGTTTATTTTACAGTTATTTAATTTGATAAGCACATTTTGATTAGAAATATTAGAGGCTATTTTTTTCACATGGGCAATGCATGCTGATCCAGCTTGTGACATCTTCCAATTTTGAAATCCTTTAAATAATCTCGACCTAATTTTGACCTCTTTCTCTGCGGTTCGGTCAGGGTTTGGGCCAGTTGTGCGAGACCATCGAGGAGTGCTGGGACCACGACGCAGAGGCGCGACTGTCGGCGGGCTGCGTGGAGGAGCGCATCTCCACCATCTCCAAGACAGCCAACACCATCAACACGTCTACCTCGGAGTGCCTGGTCTCCATGATGATGACGTCCCACAGCGACACGGACCTTCCTCCCAAAGAGTCCAGCACCTGAACGCCCGCCTCCAAACATCAGGGACTGCCAACCACTGCGTTCATCGCCCCAGTAAATGTGAACTTTGCTGCTAATTTGATCGTCATGTATTTCATTTCTTGGATCGCTTTCACCAGCACATTCGTCTACTGTACTCTTCCGAGAGGAAGGCACACACAGAAAAACCTCAACCGAACTCTCAGAGGGCATTCAGGTTATCGTTTCAGACTGCTGGGATATGAGCACACGTTACCTCATCGGATTTAATGCCATTTTTATGTTGTTTTTTTGCCTTCACTCCATGAATACCTCCATCCGAACGCTCGACCCTCGGGTTTTATCAAGACTACGCGACGATCTGATGACTGTTACACAACCTTCCAAGAGCACACAAGGTCATTTTTGTACTCGGTGAATTTTAGTCTAGTTTTAACGTACCCTTTTTTCCTCGAAATGTCTCGTGGGATGTCATTTGTCATGTTTCCGGCAGTGGCGGCAGTTGTCTGGGACACTGGAAGCTGAAGGCAGCGGGACTGTTATGATTCGAGTTGCCTTTCGCAGCATCGGGATTGGTTTTAATGTAGCATCCGCTTGTTGAAGTATCTGAAGTCAGACGTGCCATCAGTTCAGCGTTCGTTGTTTCCGAGTGACAAGAGCTGCAATCGAAGTGTTAGTTCTGCGGCCACGTGAAGAGCAGCGCTGCGTTCCAGGTTTGATTTCAATGTTTCGGTGCATCAGGAAAGCGCGAGATGTTTATCCGCTACACTACTCAGGTAAACTCTGTGCATGTGATTGTGTGACCGCTCACTCTTACAGCAATAGTTCTCAGCATGGTGAATCTCACCAGGAAAAATCTGGGTCATGAGTCACCTGAAAATCGAAACGAAAAATATAGAGTTAAACATTCATGAAAATGTAGCTTGTTTTTAGCGCCAAGATTTTTTGCACTGTGGCATTATTTTCATAACTGTTAAGCCCATCTTAGCATATCATTAGCATAATGCAAAACCAATACTTTAATGAAGATATCACAAATTGATTTTTTTTTTTACTTAATTTAAATTAGTTTAAGGAATTTGGTTCAAGAAAACGACCTTAAATATTTTTACAGGTGTGCTTTTACAAATTTTATATATATATATATTTCCTCGCATCACAGAAATGAGATTCCCGCAATAACGTCAGCGTTGAAGACCATAGTGCTGTACTCTTCACTCATCTCATGGACTCCAGTGTTGTTCAGAAACGGGCAGCTTTTATCAGACTCACTGGTCAGCGTAACACTAACACGATCACTGAATCTCGACCGTCATGCGCTCAGTGATTAGATATACCTCAGATATTGTGACTTTTTTATATATAAATATATCGAAAGTATTTTATTCTGTTTTGTGGTAGCAATATAATTTAATACCCAGCTGCTTTTCTGTGATTTACGGAGATTTTCTGGTGTTTTAGTTTTTAACAGAAGGTGCTCTGAATTTGATTGCCAGGTGCTCGGTGCGTTTCACAAAGTGTTTAGCTTTGAGTCTAGCATCCGCAGGTTCAATGGCTTCTGAGGTTCAGATGAACTGTTCTCTGAGGACATGCAAACCTTCCTCACTTGTGTTTGATTTAGGTTATGTTTGTTTGTTTGTTTGTGTGGTACATGTATCTTCTTCCCTCGTCTCCATCTTATCAATTGAATAAAGTTGGATTTCTCTATTATCAAATCAGGGATTTGAAATATGATTAAAGTATTGCAGTGCAAGTTGTGCAAATTTAGTTGAAGCCAAACTTTGTATGCTATCAGGTGTTGATGTGTGATGTGTATAAATAACGTCATCAGATCTGCTAACTGGTGTAGTTGAAGCATCTTTTATTTCTCTGTTTCACATAAATTAAACCCAGAAGAAGTGTTCTTATGTTAGGACTACCTGAGGAGATTTCCCATGATCCTTTGCTGGCTCTCTGTGGGCTGGCTTCTCATGAAGGATCGGGAATGATGGAGGTCTGTTGATGTGTTTTTACATTTTTACTGCTGCTAATGTAGTAAATGTATGTTGTGTTACCCCAGTTTGGGTCATTTCAGATTCTGCTGCCATGTTCAGTATTTTGTTGAATTAAACATTACCCATGTTTATCACTTACATGTCCTGTTTGCCATTTCTTTTTATTTACAACATTGTGATTTTTTGTGAATTTTAGTGGGGGAAAAAAGAACAACAAAAAAAAAACATAAATGCATTACAATTAAAAGGAAAGACCATAACTGCTGGTCAAGCTTTAAAATATTTATTTTATTTTATTCAAACATAAAAGGCCACAATTGCTGGTCAAACTTGACCTCTAAAAATTTTATTTAATTTAGTTAATTTATTTTTAAGTGTTACATATGTACAAGAAATAATAATAAAATAATAACTGTAAAAAAAATAATAATAAAGATAAAGAAAAGGAAGGACCATGGCTACTGGTCAAACTTAAAATGTTTTATTTTATTCAAATATAAAAGGTCATGACTGCTGGTTAAACTTGTTGAAATATTTTATTTTATTTTAAAGACCTTTACTGCTGGTCAAACTTTACCTCTAAAATGTGTTAAATTTATTTACATTTTATTTTTATTTTTAAAAAATCAGAAAATTAAATTTGTATTGTTTAAATATTCTTCATAATGTTCCAAAAATGATTTTTGACACTTTTTGTTTTACATACCAGACCATTTATGTCAGTGAATCCTATCTAGTTTAGACAAACACATTTTTTTCTACATTAGCTGTGCAGCTTTTTATGCAATTTGTAATTTTACAAATACATTTTTTGGAAAATACATTCAAAATTCACTGTAGTTATGAGGCTTGAGTAATTAGGCTTTTCACGTTCAGTTGTTATGACTCTGTCCAGCACTGGAGGACAGTATGTGTTCAGCTGATCTCTCAGCACGCACACTCATGACTCAGGACGGGAAGGGACAGATGTTGACTGCAAGGTTAGGAGACAGGACATATGGACAGTCCCAAATATTTAATACCCACAGATATAGCTCGCCAGAGTCCTCTGTCCCTGTAAGGATCTACAATAACACAGCACGAATGACAAATGACTGAAATCCTCCTAAATCACAACACAACCTGCTTAAAATAGACATGCTAACCAGTGGCGGAGCCAGAGCTGACATCTGATCGGCCACCCCAATAATTAATATGCTACTATTTCATTTTTTTTGTTTCATCGTACTGTTTCTTTTAGCCGCGAACTCAAGGATGCGACGCGTCTGGTGTTCCGCATCGCGCTTCATCTCATCCAGTTCCAGCCGCTCGCGTCACACGTTCATTTTCTCACGGTGCAGGGGCGACGCCAGAGAATTTTGAACGCAGGTGCTGAGGGGGTGCTAGTGTAACGGAGGCCAGCGAGTAGGTGCTGTGCAGGTCAACCTCACTCCCCTGATCTCAAGAGACGCACTAGCGACTGACTCTAGAGGCTGCAGTCCTTAGCCCCCTTGTTAGTGCATCCGCCTCCCATGCCGGAGACCCACTCGGAACAACAACGAGGTGTGGTGGTGAGGACCCAGGGGAGAGGGGTTACATTGGTGCCGTGACCCGGAGGGGAGTGAGGTTTAGAGGGGTGAGTGTAACGGAGGCCAGCGAGTAGGTGCTGTGCAGGTAAACCTCACTCCCCTGATCTCAAGAGAC